TCTTTCTTTCTCAGGTCTTTGACCTAAATGTTCAGAAATTCAGGTTCTAAAGAGCATTTATGCTTAAAAAAACCTTTTTCAAAATGGATCTTTTTATAAGAGCTGGGAACACATCCATCTGTGAGCAAAAAGATCTGAAAAATAATGGCTCAAACCCGGATGCCTGTAACAGAATCCTAGAAGTGGGTGGTCCAGGACTTGGAGACCACTGTGTTAGAGACCTAGCCTCTTTCTCTTCTGCTCTGCCATGCATTGTTTCCATTCTTAGAAAAGTGTGCTTTGGGACACCCGGGTGGCTCAGATGGTTAAGCGTCTGCCTTCGTCTCCCAGGGTCTTGGGATCGAGTCCTGCATCAGGCTCCCTGCTCAGAGGGGAGCCTGCTTCTCCCTCTGCCTGCCGCTCCCCCTTCTTGTTCTCTCTCTCTGTCTGGCAAATGAATAAATAAAATCTTAGAAAAAAAAAAGAAAAATGTATGCTCCCTCCTAGGAGTATTATACAGTGTGTCCTCTTGTGTCTTGTTCAGAACTTAGTCACAAGGCCACATCAAAATGAATAAGAGACTGTTTGAGGCCTCTGGGGTTGGCCAGTAATAAACTCACCTCAAATACTGTGGTTCTTTCATCAGGGAGGAAGGGGTGGCTGCATATGGAAGGCAACTCAGGGTCTCTGCCACGATTTCATTTTCCTAATTATGAGAGCAATATACACAAAACATAGAAAAGTAAGAAGAGGTTAAGTACTCCCAGAATTAAGCACACCTAACATGTGATCTAGAACTCACTCTCTCTCTCTCTTTTTTCCTTTTTTTTTTTTTTTTAAGATTTTATTTATTTATTTGACAGAGAGGGAACACAAGCAGGGGGAGTGGGAGAGGGAGAAGCAGGCTTCCCGCCGAGCAGGGAGCCCGATGCGGGGCTCGATCCCAGGACCCCGGGATCACAACCTGAGCTGAAAGCAGAGGCTTAATGACTGAGCCACCCAGGTGCCTGTCCTTTTTTTTAAGTTAAGCTGTATGCCCAATGTGGGGCTCGAACTCATGACCCTGAGATCAAGAGTTGCATGCTCTAGTGACTGAGCCAGCCAGGCGCCTCAATTCTCTTTTTACCCTGCTTGCATAACTTCAATTTTCATGGGCTTGTGAGAAAAGTTGGATCATATATATAATTAAAAAAAACCATATAACCAAAGTAGGCTACTATCATATAGTTGCTTCCTCGCGATTAAACTTCTGTTATATGTGCTCTAATACATATCTGTCCTTCTTTCTGCCCATCCATCAGTCCATCTTATTTTTGAAACAAAATAAAATTGCAAATATTAGTAACTTAAGCATAAACATTTTAACATGCCTATCATAAACTGGAGTTCAATATTTTTTATTGTTGTTGTTCTTACTTAAGGTAAAACTAAATACAGTGAAATGCATAGGCTCTAAATTCAATTAGTTTACATTAACAGTTTTAAACTTGCTTTTTCCAGTAAAGAAATCCTTATTGTGATTAATATGTGAGGTCTTTATGTGTTAATAATGTAGATAAAAATAATTATTTTAATGATTCCCATACATACTTAATCAATTCCTTATTTTGGACATTTGGTTATCTCTAAAGTTCTACTATTTTAAACAACACTGCGTTAAACACTATATATATATATATATATATGTATACACACACACAACACTATATATGTGTTAGATTAATATATATTTTACATTATTATGTACTATATATAAAACACTATATATAAAAATAGTATATATTTATTTCCTTGGTCTAAACTCCTAAATGTAGAATTTCTGGTTCAGAAGTATATGAAGATGTGCAGGGCAGTTGATCTATATTGCCAAATTGCATTCCACAATCGTTATGCTATTTTACTCTTCCATCAGCTGAGAGTGTGATTGATTCCCTCTAATTCATTTTATCTAGAGCTTTGAGATTATACAGAGAATTTCATACAAGAGGCAATCTTATTATTATTTTTACCAGCCTTCCTGCCAGTGGTTTCTAAAAAATCTGCCTGTATTGTATATTTTCACGGCTGATATTTATTTATTTATTTATAGCTAGCTAGAAAGTTTATATTCTTCCTTCCCTGTCCATATTTTTGTGAATAAAGACTTAAACCACTGGCAGGTCTGTCTTTACTTACCCTTATCCAAATTGAAAGCCTTACCGTGTACTTAGTTATTTTGTTAAATCAAATTGTCAATGGATAATTCAAAGATTGCCATATTTGATTTCTTTCTACTAAGGGGAACTTTATCTTTCAGAACCAGTTACTACAGTGAGGCTACATGTCCTAAGAACTTTGTATCAATTTTATTTCCAAATACAATGATGACTTCTACAGATTCCCTTTTTTGTTGCCGCTACATCAGTGGTAATGAAATTGTGACTTTTGTTTAATCTTCAAGCATTTGTTCTGGTGGCATTCAAGCCCTAAATTGTTTTCACGTTGAAAAAGAGGTTTCCTTTCTTTCAAAGTAGCCTCTTTCTGGAATTCATCCTACGCTTTCTTTAGTATTGGCACACTGTTGTGCTCTGACATTCCAATAGGGACCAAGGCCATGTGGTCCAACAGCTCATTTTATTTTATTATTATTTTTAAAGATTTATTTATTTATTTTGAGAGAGTGAGAATGAGAGAGAGAGAGAGAGAGAGCACATGAGAGCGGGGAGGGTCAGAGGGAGAAGCAGGCCCCTCGCCGAGCAGGCAGCCTGATGCAGGACTTGATCCCAGGACTCCAGGATCATGACCTGAGCCGAAGGCAGTTGCTTAACCAACTGAGCCACCCAGGCGCCCCTCCAACAGCTCATTTTAGAGATGAGAAAACTAAAACCCAGAGAGGTTAGGGATCTTGGTCGCATTTAGTTAGGATAACTTTGTCCAGACATTAAACATGTTTGGGAAGTACTCAGAAAGACTAAAATCTGCTCAGGTGACGAGTTGCTGATCCTTACCAAAAAAAAAAAAAAAAAAAAAAGCACTAAAGTAATGTTTATTTGGTTAATTTTTCAACCTTCCAGAGAAAGGTATGTTTCCCAATATGTGATGTATTCCAACATAGGGCAAAAATTAATCAATAATGAGGTAATTTTTTCTTTACAACATAGAAGAGAGAGGAAAAAGAGGCTTTTTGTTTAATAATCATTATAAAAACAAAACATTTGCTCAGCTTTAAGACACTTATTGATGGAATACAGTGGTGAACATGCTCATAGCCTCTGCCCTCATGGAACTTATTTACAAGTGAGGAAATAAATATTATTCAAATAATCACACTAATAAAAGTAATTACAAACTAAGATATGTGCTTGGAGAGAGAGAGAGAGAAACCCAATTGTGGGAGCTTTTGTTTATTTTAAGACAATTTCTCACTCGTGAGCCAGATCTGGGTGTTATTCCCCCGGGGAGGAATAATGGGTGAGCCCAGACAGGGAGCAGCAAGCCCTCAGACGGCATCCGAACTAGTGATATAATCTGTGGGCCCAAAGCAAAGTGAGAATACAGGGCCCTAATTAAAAAGCTATTAAGAATTTCAGTATGTGACAACAGAATATTAAACCAAACTCAGGGCCCTTCTAAGTGTGGGACTCTATACAACTGCAATTCTGGGGCCTATTGGCTGTTAGAGAGTGTGTGGATGGCCCCAAGAGGCGGGTGGGAGGCAGCAAGGTGGGGAAGTGCTCACTGGACTCCTGGGGGCCAAGGAAGAGGATCTTAGGAAGGGAAGGCCCTTTGGATCAAGATAGGTCCCCATCTGAGCTGTCCCTACTTTGATTCTCTTCCCCCAAAGAAGAGCATTTTTAGTTTTTAGACAAATTAATTACAGATTATAACATCTATAATTACAAATATAATTTAAACAAAATAATTAATTAAACAATAAAAGATGTGAAAAGAGGCATCCGCTTCCAAAACCTCTGCACGTGAATTTAAAATTCAATCCCCAATTCTTTCTATATTGTATTTTTGCTGTATAGGCATATAGGGGGCATCCCTCCCCCTCTCCCCCCATCATACAGTGTTGAAAATATTCAGGAGCCTTGGCAAGAAATAAAGTCACGCCAGACAAATAACAATAGAGTTCTGCCTGTAAGAACTTGTCCTTCAAAAGCACGAAGATCCTGGGCAAGGTCAAGAGGGACAAATGTAAACAGACTCCGTGGAGTCGCTAGATGTTCAGGAGCATTTTTAAATACCAGGAACGGGGCCGGGCGGGCCTGTTCTGGGCAAAGGTGAGGCGCGGGGGACGCCAGGTATGCCTGCTGTCAGCAAGAAGTCCGCTTTGGTTGTAGTCAAATTGGGGAAGTGATGAAGGCTAATTAAAAAGCACTTAGGCTCGGGAAACAGGAAGCAGAACACTGCGGCGGGCGGCTAGCGCTCTGCGGGACGCGGTCCAGCGCGGAGGACGCGGCTGGGCAGTGCCGGGTTCCGGCAGCGGTGCGCACCCGCGGCCCTCCAGCTACTGGGCGGCAGTGGGCTGGGGTGGGGGTGGGGTGCTGGGGGAGGGGGCCTGGGCTAACGAGCCACCCCCTCCCCCAAGCTGGCAGCGCGTCGCGTTCTTGTCGATTTCCTCCTCATTGCAGATTTCGTTAAAATGCCGCGCTTACTGGGTTGATGAAACTCCACGCCTCTTTGGCGAGAGGTTGGGGCAACGGTGTTTGAATGTTCAGCAGAGCTTTTCCCATTAACCTTAAAAATGGAACAAAAGGTTTTTGATGAGGTAGG